AAGGCCTGTCAAAGTTCCTGTCCCCACCCCACATGCACAGCTTCAAACCATCTCTCTTGGAGGTGCTGAAACACCCTACAGGGATCAAAATGACAAAGGGACACCCACATTCTGTGCTTTTCCTCTTTTGCTTTTGTTGCTTTTCCTGGCACCAGGGAGGCAATACAGCTTTTCTGGTGATCCCTGGGTGGTTCTGGCGTTCTGTCAGGTGCTACAATAGGACCCTGCCCGAGCTGTCCCCACCCTCTGGTGCTTCCTTAGTGCAGCCCTGGCTTTTTCTGAGGGATTTGTCCTTACAAATAGGAGCTTTTCCCTTCCCTGCTGGGAGTGTGGGTGACACAGCTTCCCACAGCAGGAGCTGGCCATTTTAACTTGCTGCCATTTTGTTCTTGCAGAGCACTGAAGAAGAGCGCTCCCCACTCATCAGGACGTCRTAGTAGATTTGCTTAACCCTGTGAGCTTGGAGAATAAACAGTTAGAGCTGAGCTAAYGCCAACTGTCCCCTGTGGAGACACRCTTGTGTCCAGGTCACTKKCTGTGGGACAGAGCTGGAACAGATCTGCACTGTCAGCCAGGGAGGAGATGCTTTTCTCGCCAACTCTCAAACTCCATTTTCAAACTGCTCCAGTCCTGCTTTCTCTGTTTGTACCCGCACTGACAGCCACAGAGGATCATAACCACTGGACGGGTGACCACAAGGCAGCCTGATTCCTACAGAGTGGCATTTGCCAAGGGCCTTGGGACTGGGAACACAGCAGGCTCTTGGATGGCCCCAGGCCCAGGGACAGATCTGCTGCGGGCCGGGTGTGTCCTCCCTCTAACGTGTTTGTCACTCGTGTCCCTGTCCCATCACAGCACCAGTGTACAGCTAATCCAGCCCAGAGCAGAGCTYTGTGTGCCATCTGGAGCTCCGGGTGGAAAATGCTGGAAATGCTTTTCCACCTCAGTGTTCCCACCCTGCTTGGTAGCCAGGCTTTATCCTTCAGGTGTGGGGTTTGTTCTGCAGCTTCAGGAGCCASGGCGTTGATCTGGGGGTGGAGGGTTTGGTGGGAATGCACACTTGGCATGTTTGGGATGGGATGAGARCACCCCTCCGTGTTATGGACAGGGTCCTGACAACTCTGACACTTTTTATACTTGTCAAGCAGAAACTTGTATTAAAAGTCACAAATGTTGCTCCCCTCCCCCATTAAAAGAATTTTCTCATCCACGATTGTGAAATGTATTYTAAAAATGTGTGGTTGTCTTCTGAAGAGTGGGGAATTGGGGTTGGTGTTGCTTGGGCTTGGTTTGGGGTTTCTTTCTGGCTGGTGCTTCAGTTTCTTCCCAGTTTCTGAAGCTGTGGCTGCCCCTGGCTCCCTGAAGTGTCCRAGGCCAGGTTGGACGGGGCTTTGATCCCCTTGGGACAGTGAAGGTGTCCCTGCTAGATCCCAGAGCGGGGACACCCAAAGGAACGGGACAACCCCCGCCTTGGGGGATGCAGGGATGGAGGCTCAGCCCCCCGCGGCCGCCAGCTGAGAATATTTTCCCTCGCGGGAGCTTTATGAATCCCCGTGTAGCGCAAAGTAGCACATTTTACCCCCAGGGACTCGGGGAAGGGCCGTTTGTTTTTTATCCTGTATTTTCCCGTGTCCCGTGGGTCAGTCCGCCCCTTCCGGCTATCCCCCCCTCCGGCTGCGCGCCGTGGTACAGCCCGCTGGCGCGCGCGGATTGCGTCACCGCGCGTCGCGTGGTCCACCCGGAAGCGCGTTGGCGGCGGCGGCGGAAAAGCGGCTCGTGCGGCCGGTTTTGTGTGCGGCCGGACCCGCCGCGGGGGCTCGCACGCGCCTCCCGCGGGGGYCTCCGCCCGCCGCGCCACCATCGGCCCCATGGCCTTCAACTTCAGCGCYACGGCCGGAGCCGGGGCCGCCAACCCGACCGGTGAGGGCGGGGGGAGAGCAACGGTGACGGGCGGGGCGGGGCGGGGGGAGCCAAGCAGGGGGCAGCGCGTGCCCCCCCCCGGTCCCGGCCAATGAGAGCTGCGGCGGCCGGCGGCGCGTGCCCCCCCGCCAATGAGAACAGCGGCCGCCTCGGCGGATCCGCACGTGCCCCCCGGCCAATGGGGATCGCTGCCGCCTCAGAGTCCCGCGCGTGGCCCGTGACCAATGGGAACCGCGGCGGCTGGCAGCGCGTGCCCCCCAGCCAATGGGGATCGCGGTCCCCTCAGGGACCGGCGCGTGCCCCCTCAGAGATCTGCGCGTGCCCCCTCAGGGATCTGCGAGTG